TGGATGTGGGTGAAGGCAGTGTGACGATTAAACAAGTAGTCCAAATTAGAAGGCAAACCAGCCAGTCATGTCGACCTCTGAGAATCACCTCTTCTAATCACAACATGCCGCAGCTTATATTGTCTCGTCCGTCAAGGCTGAAAGGCATAAAGGTTAACAGCCGCCGAGACTTGGAACCCGAGGACAAGGATCGTTTGTAGACCGGTCCTTCAGCTCAAACATCGTACAGAAGAAGGTGAGACTGACTTAAACATTGTACATTTTCGGATGATCAAGAAGGGTGTATGAACCCAAGTCAACCGGTTGCCCGAGCTTTAGGCACATCACGCGGTACCTCCCAGGACGTCCGCGTGGCATTCGCCAACGTGTGCAGTCTAATGAACAAACGTGACGCACTGTGCAGTTTCACTGTCTCGGAGCGGCCATTCGTCTTAGGACATGCAGACAATCGGTTGAACTCCGACATCGTACTCATCAAACCGCCTTGTTAGGATACTATTGTTTCCGATGCGACCGCAAATCAGAAGCTCACGGCGGTGTTCTGTTGCACATCAAATCGTCATTATCTGCCAAGCTTATCAGCACCTATAGGAGCGAGGATAACCAATACACACAACTGTGGTGCTTGACCCGTCTCAGACGCGCAGAACTAATAGCGAGAAACACTTGAGCCACCCACAATTTCTACTGAAGGTGGACCTATATTCCTTTAGGATAATCTGGCCAGACGTTCGGCCCCTTCCCGGTCATAGCGACGTTGAGGCTCAATTCGACAAATTACATTAAAATCGCAGCAACGCAATATGTCGACCAACAGACGCGCATAACACTACAAACGGAATCGTGTTTGCACCTAATGTTTACGAGCTGCGAGCAGAACCTGAAAGAGATCAGAGTCCTTGAACTTCTAGCGAACAATGACCACCGCTCCACTGTGGCAAGCATAGAACTGCCATTACCGCATAACAACCAACGGAAGATAACATTCAACTACTGGGAGGCGGACTTCAACGGGCTCGTCCAAACCGCAAATCAGACTGATTGGACACTGCCACAAGATGCGTCGCTTGAGGCCTGTTGGTCATTAATGAAGGGGAAGCTCAACTCGCTGTGTACTCGGTTCGTCCCCCTGAATTATTCAAAAGTTGTACCTGTCAAATTGCATTGGTTTGATAGGGAATATAAACGATTAGCGCAACGACGTCACAAACTTTGAGATAGATCCACCATCTCGGATCGTGATGAAGATTACACGGTGTACAAGAAACAGCGTAACTTGTGTAATGCCGCAAAGATCAAGTAACGCCGGCAGTTCGAAGGGGAACTAGCAGCCTCGGCCACAATCACCCCACCGCCAAAGAGAATATTTGCCTAATTGAAGCGTCAAATTATGCCTGCGGGCCACCTATCAGTCTCAAAGAGAGATTTCACGGAAAAACGCTCATTTCAAGCGCGGAACGCGGTCACCTTGGCTACCCATTTCCTCATGGTATTTTCCACTAAACCGGCGACTGTTCTAGTACCGTCACAGGTGGCGCCAGTCTTGCACGACAGGCTACAATGTGATGCAGTCGAAGTGTATCAGCTACTCGTCAACCTCGATGGTGCAAAGCCCCTTGGCCAGACAGACTTCACCCACTAATACTCAAGTCCCTATCGAATGTCATCTCACTAGCCGTGATAAACCTATTCAATAAATCACTCTCTGAAGGATCTGTCACCAACGACTGGATATACTCGTTAGTGAGACCGTTTCCCAAGGGTGGTGATCCGAGTAAAGTAGAGAAGTATAGACCGATCTGTTTGACTTCGAGCTTGTCCAAAGTTCTAGAGGTTGGAAAAAGTGTTTGCTGTCGTTCTTCGAATCGATGAACGTATTGACGCCAGCGCAACACGGCTTTACGAAAGGGCGATACTGCATCACCAACTTGATGTACGCAAACCGCCAGTGCGTACGAGCTCTCAATGAACAGAAGGATGTTGACCTGGTGTACATCGACTTTAGTAAGGCGTTTGACAGAGTGAACCACGAGGCACTCCTTCGTAAAGTGAGGACATACGGAATCGGTGGCACGCTACTTCAGTGGTTACACGAGTTTATTGTGGGACGAAACTTTATAGTACAGATCAATGATTACTTGACAAATTGGTTCGCATCGACCAGTGGCGTTGCCTCAGAGAACTGTACTTGGGCTAGCGATATGTCAACGATCTCCCGTAGCCACTCCAGTCATCATGTACCCTGTTTGCAGATGATGTGAAAATCTGGAGGATCATTGAGAATTCGGACAGTTGCGCTGACCTTGAGTGTCGACGTGGTCCACTGAGATGCAACTCCGTCTTAACGCAAGCAAGTCGTGGTCCATCACTATCACCAGACGTGCAACCACTCGATCATACACCATGGAGGGCCAGTTGCTCCGCACTAACAAATCTGTCAGAGACTTAGGAGTGCTCTCGCGACATGATATGAGATCACTAGAAAATACAGAGAAAATGGACCGTGAGTGACTTCGTATGCTCTGGGGATTACGACGCAGTTTCTCCACCTGTTCCGAAGAAACCGTCCCTCGTCTATACACCTCGCTCATCAGACCAATCTTTGAATACGGTGCCCCAGCTTATCCAGTGGGAAATGGTAAAAAGTTGGAGAAAATACAGCACATCGCAACTAGAATGATGCCCAGTCTACGAAAGCATTCGTATGAGAAACGTTGTAAAAGGCAAGGACTCCACACACTGTTCTACCGCCGAGTACGAATTGACCTTATTATGACCCATGGAGTACTACACCTGAATCACCTCCCCATACTGCGGCCAATATTTCACCTGCGGGAACCCTGTAACACCAGAGGACACAATACAAACTCAGGGTCACATGGATGTATCACATCAGCTTTGTACGTAAAGTTATGGAGTACACTACTAGAAGGACCAACAGAGACCGATTCTGTAAAATTTTTCAAAGCACATATCGACGACTATTTCGGAAACGTGTGCTTTTGTGAAATCGTGCACACAATGCAAAAAATATATTCTATAGCTGGAAATAATAACACCAACACGAACTTCTAACCGAACAAGGATAAACGATTAACTGGCAAAACACTGTCGCTGACAATCCGCAATTAAATGTTTTTGATTTTTCATAATTGATAGAGTTGTACAGGAACTTTTCTATTTGCTCTTAAGTGCAGACTCAGATTAGTATCGGTATAGAAGGCTGGGTAGATAAGCCCATAGGTTTGTATATCCTTGAATCTGTATTCGCATGAGATTCTTCCTTTCAGCTGCGGATGTTCCCCGGAAACATTTTGAACCGTTAGAATTATGGGTTTAACTGCCGATGTGCTAAGTCTTGCCTGGGTGGATAGAGAAATGCTCTTGATAGTATGCACCGTTCCTGGTCGCAATGATACCGGAATATTGTTGCGTTTCACTAGAAGGTAAACCATGAGGTCCTCCTCGACAAGCTAAAGTCTATGATGTTGGCGGATCAATGCACTAGTGGAGCCAAGACTTCTCGTTGGGCGAAAGTGGAGGGTACAGGTCGATGGCCATCTCACCAACTGGTATGCATGTAGTAGTGGGTTACCCTGATGCATGGTGATGGGACCCGCTCTGTTCCTAGTCTACAGCAACGACCTATCTTGACTTCTCCAGTCACCGTGTGCCCTGCTTATGGACGACCTGAAGGTTTTGAGAGTGATTCGCACCCCAGCGACTGTAGCCTACTTCAGCAAGAACTTATACGCCTCTGCATGTGGTCCGTTGGGGTCTGCCTCCCAATCAACCTAAGCACGTATGTATTCAAGAGCCTGGGGAAGGGTGGTGACGGCCGAAGGTACACTATTGTCGGCAAACTGCTACATCACACGCCTTCCGTGGAGGACCTAGGTGTACTCTGGCGCTGCGACGTGGATAACGAACAGGCTCTATCGTAACGGATAGTGCAACTTATCGGCGGTCACGCGCGGTTTCTGGTCGGAAGAGAATGTCACTGGCCTCTTCTCTTCCATCATAAGATGATTACTAGAGTACACCTTTCCCGTCTACTGTTCAATCACCCGTAGCCTACTTCAGCAAGAACTTAGACGCCTCTGCATGTGGTCCGTTGGGGTCTGCCTCCCAATCAACCTAAGCAAGTATGTATTCAAGAGATTGGGGAAGGGTGGTGACGGCCGAAGGTACACTATTGTCGGCAAACTGCTATATCACACGCCTTCCGTGGAGGACTAAGGTGTACTCTGGCGCTGCGACGTGGATAACGAATAGGCTCTATAGTAACGGATAGTGCAACTTATCGGCGGTCACACGCGGTTTCTGGTCGGAAGAGAATGTCACTGGCCTCTTCTCTTCCATCATAAGACGATTACTAGAGTATGGCTCTCCCGTCTACTGTTCAATCACCCGAGGCGAGGCATAGATCAAGCGGGTCCAACACTCGCTACCGGGATCATACGCACAGAAACCGATGCGAGAAACTAGAACTCTATACCGTGTCCTATCATCGGATGTGAGTCGATCCAATCGTGACCTACCGCGTAGTACATTTTGGTGACTTGGGAATGCATGTGCTACACGCGGACACCGGCACAATCTTGTGGTGCCGGATATAAAGCTAACTGACAACCCTCTGTGCTTCGACCGGAGAGTGGTATAAGTTTAAAACGGTCTGTAGGAACGTCGTGGAGGCGAAGCATGTGCAGAGGTTCAAAACGTTGTTGGATTTACACTTCACCACCACACAACTCAGGGGCTGATTGCACATGGGCAATGACCTCTTACATTTGTGTGCCGTAAGTCAGACATTTTAAATGCAGCATAAGAAAGTGAAGAACAATTAGAGTATCAACATGTGGCAAACACTTTTTACGACATTTTGTGACTATATTTCGATAGAACTGCACAGTGATAAAGGAAGGATGAGCTATTAACTTGAACGAATCAAGGAATCGAAACAAGCAGAGTGCCATCAAATCATTAATAATGTAACTCACTGTATCATGTGGCATATTGGAAAGAAGCGTGTTAGAAGCGACCAAACCTCTCCGAGAGTTGCTACGCCATCTCTGTTGCCTTCCGGCTTGGAACAGAGATCGCGATGCGGTCTCAGAGGCGGTATGTAGCCGCAACTCCTTCTCCACCTCCGACAAGGCCTTGGTTTGGAACAAATCGATTGTCACGTAGTTTAGACCAGCGGATGAAGAGTCCCCGTCATCATCTGGAGCAATACCTTTGGATGATGAGGGACCACATGTAGGTGGATCATGGGAAACACATGGGAGGCTGCTTGGGATCGACTCTGATCCGCGTGATTCCGATAGACATTTTACGGTACCGGAATGGCAAGGAGTGGGGGAAGCGGTAGACTGTCCACTAGTAGCAAACGGGCGCCAAGCTTGTCCAGTGGACAACGTGAGATGAGCATAGTGCAACCGATGTGCTTGTGAAGCTATAGCATCGCATGTGATCCGCGTGCTACAGGTTGGTGATGTGGAAGGAATGGGCACCACATAATCTGCTTCGTGGGATCGGTGGGTGTCATGAATGCTGAGAAACAAAGTGAAGAGGCATTGGTTGGCTGAATGTGCAGAAACGGTCGACATGGAAAAGGACCGCAAACGTCAATGTGCTTCACCACTAAGCCGAATCGCAAGAATGGGGCGTGCTGTAGTAGATGGAATGGGAAGCTAAACTGGGTACCGAAGTCGGAGTAACTTTAATTGAGAATAACTCAAACCAGTAAGTACTTGGTTGTACTCCCCTGAACCACAGTGTGAGCGTTCCGAATGAGTGCAAAAGTGAATGCAAGCACCCGTAAACACTGACCAAGAGACCGAGAAGCAGCAACGACATACACCAACGACGTTGGTCAAATTGGTATCAGCCAGTGGATGCGTGAAAATTCCTCTAATCTCGACTGTACGAGCAGGTCTGTAGCATGTGTGCACAAGGCCGAGCAACTGAAGACTTGGAGAGAGACTACGAGAAATATGCACATCAGCGGGTTGGATAAATGAGTCGTGTGTATGAATCTACCTTCTCAACCGCCACATTTCCCGCACTCAGTCAGATGAATGAAGCATGTGTGCCTACGAAACATGAACGCATCGGTAAGTTGGACAACCTATGTCCCATCGCTAATGCTTCTGACTTATATACGTTATTTAGCTAATTTGTGTGAAGTATGTCATTTGCGTTTTAAGTAGCTCAAAACGTAATAAGTAATAATAATAAATAATAATGATAATAATAATAAGAAAACGTACGCAGTATACACGTATGGGGAATGTACGATATGTCCCACAGTTGTCGTCATTCACGACAGAGATATAGTTTCAGTCGTAGCTGTTCTTCGCGTAAGTCTCCTATTTTGTTTACCCTAACATACTTTCTAGTGGTGGAACCTTCAGATTTGACTGCGTTCTGCGATGCCTTCCTGTGGAATTAATAACACACGAGTTTGGTTTTATGAAAAACTATCGCACATTCACTTTTATCCGGTTACAACTGTTATCATGTTAATCTACACGCGCGGTTTTCTGAAATCGCTAGGTTTCCGCGCTCACAAGCTGCGTCTGTTGCAACGACCACGTTGTACGAAATAAACTGAAACGAATTTAAAGGAAGCGCAATAATTGTGCAAGAAAACACCGCACTGTATGGAAAGTTGCTCTTGGGAAGAAACTAATTGAGAAGCATAAGCATATCCACTTTACTTACCTCAAACATCCGTTCGCTTTTAGGGAAAATGGATAAACTAACGACTATCATCAGGTCCCGAGAATATTCGCAGCTAGACATGATTCTGCTACAAGAGACTGTGTTTCAGGAGAAGCTGGCTGATGCACCTGTATTGAGGCTTAAATATCATCAAATCGACTGCCTTTACGCGTACAGTAATCGTGGTGATGCAGTAGTCATTAGTTACACCAACACTTCCTGGTGCCTAGCTACGAAAGCATTGTTTAGCTTTTCTTCGTAACGTAGAAGCTGGTTGGTTTTGAGTTGGAAGCCAGAATGTATCAGTGGATACCGCTTAACCTTACTGGCTAACATCTATATACATCCTCCACCTGTCCGAAACCTGAAGCAGGCACTCAACGATGAGTTTACTGCGGCCGTCATAGAACACATCGATTGTTCACTATGTACTTTTGTTGGCGACTTCAACCGATTTGACAACGCTTTTCTCACAGGTCTGGGACTACAAAGCATCGTAAATGGCCCCTCTTGATCTAATGCGAGTCTAAATCTAGTATGTGTTAACAACTTGAAGCTGTTCTTAGCGTGTAACAGGGCGCCGTTAGGTTGCTCTGACCACTCAACAATTAAAATGTGTCCTGTGATCTACTCGAAGACAAACCATAAGGTGGATACTCGTTGCAATGACTGCAAGTTCAGGTGGAGGCAGTGTTCCGCACAGAATATTGACCGACTGCGAGAAATGGTATCATTGTTATAAACGTCCTAGTTGGTTTCGAGTGTCCTAGTCGGAACGGACGCACTCTCATTCGTTGGTTCTCACCCGCAAAGATCAGGAGTCACCAAACAATGGCTGGAGCCGGCCCGCGATGTCAGTTCGTCCAGCCCGCCGACTGTACCCGAATTAGCTTAAAAAACCTACGGAACACGAGAGGTTACGGTACAACTTACACTTAGCGCTGCATGTCATATTGGTAATGACCTTATACTGTTTGAATACCCGCGTGAGCCATGTCAAGATTATTACATGTGACACCGTATTATCGTAGCATTAGGAACCCCACATCGCTGGAGGCTTGATGTGAGTGATCACGCATGAAGCCCATTCATTTGGGCACCTTACCATGTTTCTTTTTACTTCACACCTTTGTGCCACAATATTGGGATTGGTCCGTCCACCTAAATGATTCACCATATAAACCGCGACTAGTTTATACGTGTGTCATGTTTGAGACATAAATAGAACGAAATGCAAGTTTATAGTACGGAATTGTGCTGGAAGCTCAACTTGTTAAGTTTCATATATTTTGGTTTTAGTAAATATATGTTCCCGTATTAACCCTACTCCTCAGTTTTCCCGGTGTTTCGATAGCTTTTTTATTATGTTGGTAATTCAATAATTTTTCTTGTTCAGTCCCGATTTATTTTAGCCCTTACTAAAGTGGACGCCGAGTGTTGTGTTTTCGTTGTCTTTTGTCTCAGAGTTTTCGTTCTGGCTCGCAAGTATTTTGCAGAATGAGTACGCGACTCACGCTAATTTGTTAGTTATGCGATCCGCGTTAGTTATGTTTTTCCGCGCCATTCAATCTTTCTACTTATCTGGCCTGCTGTGAAAACGTTTGGTGTGACCCCTGGCCTAGACGATTCGAATTGGAACGGCTTGTGGAATTAGACGGCAGACGTGAACTAGTAACTGATAAGGCGGACGAAACGCGTAAACGCCGCACAACTATACCGAGACCCCGGAGAAAAAAGACGGACCAATAGAAAGAGTGCTTTACTGACTCAACCAAGACAACCGTGCCTTCTATACCCTCATATCTATAGTTCACTAAACAGTAGTAAATATATAAACTATAAGGGAAGGCGTACGTTTGCTGGCCCATGAGTTGCCACGTAGTGGCCTTATCTCCGGGAAGAGGTGAGGTGCGTTCGATGCTGTTGAGATGTTGGACACATCACAGTTGTTTAGCGTGCTTGGTGGCTAAGGCATTGGCATGAACACGGCTCGGAAGACACACGGCTGACTTGAGAAGAGCCCGGTAGATAGTGGTGAAACTGGGGCCAGTTCAGTGGGAACTGTGCGGGATACGTTGGCCGCCTATGCACTGGGGACAACTCGGTTGTGATCTGTACAGATGAGTGGACCTTGCGCGGCAGTTTCCGTGGGGAGAGCCTCGATCTGAACTGTGTAGTTTAGCTCTCTGCATAGCGAACGTGTTTATCGGACCCCATAGTGTACTCGAGCCGGTGAACTCCGGGTGAGTTTGGCAGTGCTGTGCTAGCCCTGCAGCAATCATTCAGTGAATTCAGTTTATTTTTTGATACTGACGTATCCGCGTATTGCTATCAGCTGATAAGATAGCTGAACTTCGGTTTTGGCATCTGCTTTCCATGCGAAACTTTGTTCATCCGAGCGGACAGACTCTTTTCCCACCAGAAGCGGCTGTGTAGACAGAAGGAAAAAGCTTTCAAAAGACCGCTTTATTAAAGTCACTCTCCGTCCTTACAAAGGAGCTGCGCAGTCTCAATAACGCGTACATTTAGGCTATACTTGGAAATAGTAGCTACCGAGAACTCTGAAGAAGGTTGAAACAACTAAGCGGGGTTACTCGAGGTACATCAAGTTACGACGTAGATGTGAAAAAACTGAACAATGACTTCTACAACTACTATAACAACTACGAGTCGTCATTTACCCAGCCAAAATTGCGTGCAGACCCAATGCCCCCTATCGACGGCGACACAATGCACAAGCTACTAAAACATTTACATTCAGAGAAAACAAGAGGGTCGGACAGATTGTCTCCACTTGTCCTCAAAGAATGTACCGATTTGCTGGCCAAACTTTTGGCTACTTTACATACATTGCGCATCCAACAACACAAAATTGCTGCCTGCTGGCGAGGCGTCAGTATCACACCAATACCAAACAAAAGGCTCAAGCAAATATTGACCAGTTGCTGGTACCTCGGTAGCTTTAAAAGTGTTCGAAAAAGAGCATACTTGTGAAGACGCTGATACAAAAGCGGTTAAATGATTATCATCAATTTGCCTATTGTACACAGCCTAAGACGCAGTAGCTTGCTTTGTGCGTTCGGTTTTGTCATCACTGTACAATAGAAACAAGTTCACGCGAATCTGTTGTCTGGACTGCGGCAACGCATTCGGTTGCGTAAACTCAGAATTGCTGGAGACAGATCTACTCGGTGTTGGAATACGTCCTTTCATCGTATTTTTGTTGATGGGTTATTTGCCGGTGTTATTCAGGTTACCCGATTTGGGCGCATAGAAACTGACGTGAGCTCACGCATTGCAAAAGCCAGAGCTGCCTTCTTGAACCTGCGTCATCTTTGGCGACAGAAGGGAGTTTCCGTCTGAAAGGCCGTGTATACAAGGCCACAGTGAGGGCCGTTCTGCTCTATGGCAGTGAAACTTGGCCCCTTCGGTCTGAAGATCTGAGGCACCTTCAAGTCTTTGATCATCGTTGTTTACGAAGCATTTCTGGTGTCGGATAGCACCAGCGTGTCCGCAACGATGATGTGCGTAGGCGAGTACTAGGGGGTGATGATCATGCTAGCCCCCTAGAACAACAGATAGCACTGAATAAGTTGCGTTGGCTCGGGCACGTGCTACGCATGCCTGGTCACCGCTTACCTAGGAGGGCCTTGTTCAGTCTGCCAGGTGTAGGATGGCGCAAGGCTCGAGGTGGTCAGAAGTTGACTTGGCAGCGGGAAATGAAGTCACTGACAACCAAACTGGGTGCCGTTGGTCCGTCCCGCCTTCCGGGTTGGAGTCCACGTGACTCACCTTGTGCTTGGCTCGAGACTTTACAGGACATGGCTCGCAACCGACACCAGTGGCGCGTCTGCTGCCGTCTCCTAATCGGATTGTCTGTTTAAAGTGTGTTTGGTGCTGAGTTATCTGCGGGGTAATGGCTGATTATGACGCGTGGCAGCGAAAGCCGCAAGGAAGCTGTCTCGCCGATGCCGCCTTATCTTTGCACGATAGCCAGCTGTTTGTGACGGAATGTTGTCCACACAAGGTGTAGGCGCCTTGACCCTGAATGTTTGCTTAGGGCATTAAGGTTTTCAGGTAAGTCCCCCTTCTCTCCCTCTTCTTATTCTTTATTTCATAGGTCCTCATGGTTGTATGGCGGCGAAGCATCAGTTCAAATGGCTGATGTACTGCTGTTAATGATGATGATGATGATTTGGAGGCAGAAACACCTCACCCCCAATCACAAACAACGGTGATTTTCAGAGAGCCACCCTGTCACCATTCCTATTTTCCACTTATGTCCAATTAATACCAGCCCCTGAGGAGGCGACCCTGCTGATGTACGCAGATGGCATTATCTTGTGTGTCAATCAATCGACGACTGCCTATTTAATCAAGTGACAAGATATACCAAACGATCTCGCGTTTCGGTCGAAAACCCGCGAGCTGCAGCCTAACGTGTCCAAGTGCAATGAAATGGTATGTTCGCAGCACAGAGGAAATCAGTATCAACAGCTTCTCCAGCAATGCTCGGAACTCCGCATCAATGGCGAGGGATTGAACTCCTCCATGATTTATCTTAGTCACATCAGATGAAGGAAACATTGGCAAAAATCAGGAGACTATCGTTCTACGCCACACATCGGTAAACTTCCTCTGTCCCCAATGAGTTGATACTTCGTTTTGCCACTCCCTTTGTTCTTCCACACTGGACGTACTGCTCACCAGTGATTTTTCCTGGTGTATCAAAGCGAATGTTTGTTGATTTACGTGTATCCACTCATGTTGGTGCTTGTAGGAGACTAGCACCACTTGCCGACACAAACTACCCCTTCATGGTGTGTAGTCGGAATGTGTGCTGACCTCGTCGACCAGACAGAAGTACAAGTCCATGTGCGTCCGAACACCAGCTTACCGCTAGTCAGTTGCTTCTTACCAGGTTGAATGTTCGATAAACCCTTATGAAGTTGTCCCCAAGATGGTGCAATGATGGTAATTTTGTCTATCCATTTATTAATCTACCTTCTTTGAATTGTACTTATATCATGCTGCATCGCTGAAAGCACGTGTTACGGTTGAATATGCACCTGTCCTGAGTGCATAAACACTACCTTGACTTGAGTTGAATATCAATTTTATTTCTCCGTTCCTATTTGTAGATACAGCACCGAAAATCGTCCGTATTTTGCTCCCTATGGGAAATTCTGCTTAAATGACATCCAACACTTCCTGCTTGTAATCTGATCCGCATAGTGCTGGAGTGAACTGCATCGAGTTCTGTTACAAAACCAGAAGAAATTAGGACTGAAAACATCACCGGAAAAGAAACTAAACAATTAGGAATACTAAGAACACACTCCCGGTGTTCAAAACGAAGATTAAAATCTGGAACCGCCTACGTATTGAGCATGCGAATCGCAACCTGTGTTTAAAAGAGCAGTTTCAAACGGTCTGATGGTGTAATACGCAAAAACAAAGCTGAACTGAATTGCAATGAAAAATGTACTGATTATTAATATGCGTTATATGTGTTAGGCGCATTTTATTTACTTGGCCAAGACTAGCTGAAACGGTGAATTAAGAAAACGGAAAGTTGACAGAACCCCCTTCACTGTTCTTTACCCAACCCTCTTTTCCTCTTTATTATGGAAAGCATATATCACAGGCACATCAATAATTGTGGGTTGCATAGAAATTGCAAATTGAGATGGAGTTTACCATTCTTGTCTCCATTCTTCATATTCTGCTTACTAAGCCACATCTACCTTACAGCCATACCAAAAAGTGTGAGCTGTAGAGGAAACGCTGACTAAATCCACCTATCATCATTCGCTTTTACCATTCGTTCTTCTCTTACTCGTCTATGCATCCCATGTTGACTTCATGTAAGCAATATCAAGCAGCAAGGTGAAGCTAACGAATTCAGTTTTCTAACATCTTTATCCTTATTTCTAATATTTCTCTTCCTCTCTTCCTCTTACGCCTAGAGCACAGTCAAACCAAAACGACTAATCCATGTGACAAAAGCCAACCATGTCCGTTCTACAAACAACAAATAAATCTCTCCTGCTATCTGTCTTGGGCTAGATGTACACAGCTGCTAACCTGAAAATAAATACTCCTCAGTTGCTGTGGAGTTCTCCGAGCTGGGCAACTTGGTTACAGACGTTGCGCCACCATTCGAGGTGGCATCTTCAGTGCGGGATTGATAGCAGGTAAGTAGCAATAGCTGGTAGAAAGCAAACCCAATAATGGATCCATTATTCCAAATCATTTCGAATAAATACTCCTTTTAGAACACAATGTACAGAAAATCTTTTTAGCCTGAATAAGATGCCACACACACACGCAACACAACTGCTCCTCAGCATTTACTCAAGGAAAGAAAACTTGGTCCCGTCCGCACACAGAGCACTCCGTCAGAATGCCAAGAATTATTCTGTGCCCATTCAAGGCTTTGAACTGGACAACCATGGATGTTAAAAACACAATTTTTATTTCTGCTTAACATTCAGAATATGCTGTAAATATTATGCGAAACAATTGTGGAAATTTGATCATGCCGAAAGGGCGTCTCGTAAACCCTATAATATACATTATTATTATTAATATCATTATTATTACCGTTGGATTTATTTGTACAATATAATCGCACAAATTATGCTGAATCGTGTCTTACCTCGTTGAGACTATACCAATTATGATCCAAGGTAGTGGCTGTGGAAGCATACGTCGCTCACTTCTTTACTCAGTGCCGCACGACCAGAACTTCCCTATCACACCAAAGTTTAGTCTGTGGACGGTGACAAGCGAGAGCAGAAGAGTAAGCTGGAAGCGCGCGGATTCTGAACAGCTAAGAAAAGCTAATGATTCCGGAAGGTTTACAGTGCAATGTTAGTCTTTTCTGGTTGTTACGTTTTCCTCTTGACACAAGAGCTTCTTCAGGCCAGAAGCCCTTGTATCAAGAGCGAAACGTAGCTGCAATAAAACCTGCAAGAAAGTTATTTGCATTCTAAACTTTACGAAGTGATGAACTAGTCGGTTCCGAGACGCTAAGGAATGCATGCGCAGGTGCCATGTCTAAATATAACGATGAAACGCCCAGAAACGAGCATCGCAATCGCATCGAACGCATCGATATAGAAACACGGAAGCCTGCAAATGGGAAGATTTACTTGGGTGCTATAACAATCCCTCTCGTCAAACCGTCACTTATTGCCCAAATAATTATTCGTGAACTCCAAGTAATGCGCAAGCCGTGTTTCAAAGTGTTTTGTCAAGAGGCCGCAAAAGTGGAGCAAGACCCAGATGACGTAAGATTGTATGGGGGCACAATAACTATCAACCCATCAAGCAGCTCGTATTCACCTTAAAGATGTAATGGTAAAGTAACTTGGAAACAATAATTCGCATGCAAAAGAAACAGAAATAGTCCGATATTCGAGCTACCAACCTCTGTTGAAAATGTTGCGGGATACTGCGTAAGCCATGGGAAGATTCGTCTAGGCTAATGGTCGTCGCGCGTGAAGCCAAATTCACGTAGTATTGAGAGGAGACCGGTGGAACGGCAACGGGTGGCATGGAGGAGGAGAAGGAAGACGAAGCCGAGCTCGTCCCAATGCCGGACACAGATTTAGACAAATCGCTCACGTTGACGTAACTACACAGCGTGATCACGGACCCGCTAGCCCCTTCGTCCAGATCAGGCAACCGAGTGAAGTTAGTGGCATCTTCATTAGTCAAGAGATCTCGATTATTCGAGGCAATGGGCTGCACCAGCACCGAACGCATAGCCTCGCGTTCGTCAATCGGCTGCAAACTGACTCGGCGATTAGGACCAACATTGATGTACGATCTGGGAGAGTCAATCACATAAGAGTAAACAGGGTTACGAAGGTGGGTGAAGCGAAATCTATGATCAACTAAGTGGGAAAGAGAGAAAAGACTGGGCCAAGTAGGAGATGATAAAGAACCGTGTTCGTCCCTGATGCTCATAAGGACAGTGAGACTAGATGGAGAATTAGATTTTGAATGAAACTATATAAGAGTAAGCAGAAAGGTCACATCACAACTTTAATAATTATGAAAAATAAACAGTTAATTGCGAATCGTCAGCGGCCGTGATTTGTCAGTTAATCGTTTATCCTTGGGCGGTTAGGAATACGCATTGGTATCATTATTTCCGGGTACAGGATGTATATTTTTGGATTGTATGTGCAACGCTACATAAAAGCACAGATTTCCGAAATAGTCACCAATATGCTCTCTGAAAAACTTTAAGAATCGGCCTCTGTTGGTCCTTCTGGTAGTGTATTCCATAACTTCACGATCCTTCGTTTCGTACAAAGCTGATGTGATACCCCATACATCCATAAGACCCTGAGTTTGTAACGGTGTCATCGAGTGTTACAGGATTCCCGCAGGTGAAATATTGGCCGCAGTATGGGGAAGTGATTCAGGTGTAGTACTCGATGGGTCATAATAAGGTCAATTCGTACTCGGCGGTACAACGAGTTACAACGTTTCTCATACGAATGCTTTCGTAGACTGGGTATCATTCTGGTTGCGATGTGCTGTATTTTCTCCAACTTTTTACCATTTCCCATTGGGTTATCGGATGGTAAGCTGGGGCGCCGCACTGGTCTGATGAACGAAGTGTATAGACGAGGGACGGTTTCTTCGGAACAGGTGGAGAAACTGCGTTATAATCCCCAGAGCATACGAAGTCACGCACGGTCCATTTTCTCTGTATTTTCTAGTGATCTCATATCATGTCGCGAGAGCACTCCTAAGTCTCTGACAGATGTGTTAGTGCGGAGCAACTAGCCGTCCAAGGTGTATGCTCGAGTGGTTGCACGTCTGGTGATAGTGATAAACTCCGACTTGCTTGCGTTAAAACGGAGTTGCATCTCAGTGGACCACGTCGACAGTCGATCTGAGTCATGCTGGAGGTCAGCGCAACTGTCCGAATTCCCAATGATCCTCCAGATTTTCACATCATCTGCAAACAGGGTACATGATGACTGGAGTGGCTACGGGAGATCGTTGATATGAATAAGACATATCAATGGCCCAAGTACAGTTCTCTGAGGCAACGCCACTGGTCGATGCGAACCAGTTTGTCAAGTAATCATTGATCTGTACTATAAAGTTTCGTCCCACAATAAACTCGTGTAACCACTGAAGTAGAGTGCCACCGATTCCGTATGTCCTCAGGTTACGAAGGAGTGCCTCGTGGTTCACTCTGTCAAACGCCTTACTAACGTCGATGTACACCAGGTCAACATCCTTCTGTTCATTGAGAGCTCGTACGCACTGGCGGTTTGTGTACATCTAGTTGGTGATGCAGTATTGCCCTTTCATAAAGCCGTGTTGCGCTGGCATCAATACGTTCATCGATGCGAAGAACGACAGCACACGCTTTTTCACAACCTCTAGAACTTTGGACAAGCACGAAGTCAAACTGATCGGTCTATACTTCTTTACTTTACTCGGATCACCACCCTTGGGAAGCGGTTTAACTATCGAGTATTTCCAGTCGTTCGGGACGGATCCTTCAGAGTGATTTATTGAATAGGTTTATCACGGCTAGTGAGATGACATTCGATAAGGACTTGAGTATTATTGGGTGAAGTCTGGCCAAGGGGCTTTGCACCATCGAGGTTGACGAGTAGCTGATACCCTTCGACTGCATCACATTGTAAGCTGTCGTACAAGACTGGCGCCACCTGTGGCGGTACTAGAACAGTCGCCGATTTACTGGAAAATACCATGAGGAAATGGGTAGCCAAGGTGACCGCGTTCCGCGCTTGAAATGAGCGATTTTCCGTACAATCTCTCTCTAAGACCGATAGGTGGCCCGCAGGCATAATTTGACGTTTCAATTAGGCAAATATTCTCTTGGGCGGTGGGGTGGTTATGGCCGAGGCTGCTAGTTCCCCTTCGAACTGCTGGCGTTACTTGATCTTTGCGGCGTTACATAAGTTACGCTGTTTCTTGTACACCGTGTAATCTTCATCACGATCCGAGATGGTGGATCTATCTCAAAGTTTGTGACGTCGTTGCGCTAATCGTTTATATTCCCTATCAAACCAATGCAATTTGACAGGTTCAACTTTTGAATAATTCAGGGGAACGAACCGAGTACACAGCGAGTTGAGCTTCCCCTTCGTTAATAAACAACAGACCGCAAGCGACGCATCTTGTGGCAGTGTCCAATCAGTCTGATTTGCGATTTGGATGTGCCCGTTGAAGTCCGCATTCCCAGTAGTTGTATGTCGGCTTCCGGTGGTTGTTATTTGGTAACGGCAGTTCTATGCTTGCCACAATGGAACAGTGGTCATTGTTCGCTAGAAGTTCGAGGACTCTGATCTCTTTCAGCTTCTACTCGCAGCTCGTAAACATTAGGTCCAAACAAGATGCCGCGTGCGGTTACGCGCGTCGGTTGGATGACATGCGTCACCCTGATTTCAATAAGCATTTTATCGAATTGAGCCTCAACGTCCCTATGACGGGGAAGAAGCCGAACGTGTGGGCAGAATGTACTAGATAAATTTAGACCCCCATCAGTAAGAAATTAGGGCGGCTCATGCGCTTCGGTATATGCGGTAGCCAATCGCAACAACGATTTAATGGGCTACGGAAGATAACACCCACTATTAGTTTTGCGCGCCTGAGGCGGATTGTGCACGACAATTGCTCGCATAAGTTATCCACGCTGCGATAATTGCAGGTAAGTTTGCCAGATAGTGACGATTTTATGTACAACAGGACGCATCGGAAAAAAGAGTATCCTGACAACGCGACTTCGTGGGGTATGATGTCGGAGTTCAGCCAAGTCTCCACAACTCCTAAAAGGTACGGCCGCTCCGAGACAGCGAAGCGGCAGAGTTCGTCAGGTTTGTTCATTAGACTGCACACGTTGGCGGATGCCACGCGGAGGTACGGCGGGATGTGCCTGGAGGTTGAGCAACCAGGTGATATAGGTTCGTACACCCTACTTGACCTCACGAAAATTTACAATTTGTAAGTCAGTCTCACCTTCTTCTGTACGGTGTTTGAGCTGAAGGACCGGTCTTCAAACGATCCTTGTCCTCGGGTTCCAAGTCTCGGCGGCTGTTAACCTTTATGCCTTTCAGCCTTGACGGACGAGACAATATAAGCTGCGGCATATTGTGATTAGAAGAGGTGATTCTCAGAGGTCAACAGGACTGGCTGGTTTGCCTTCTAATTTGGACTACTTGTTTAATCATCACAGTGCCTTCACCCACATCCAAGAGTCTATCGATGAGACCCTGGAGGAACTCAACATCGTGATCATAATGTATGAGGGTTTTCGTCTTTTTAATCTGGTACGTGGAAGACCATGAGATTATGAGGCTTCAGTGAAATCGGTGATGAACCTGTGGAAGCAGGACTAGTGGCGCTTATCGGTTTGGGTTGTTGTTCATCAGCATGGGACGCTTGGACCCGATTACGTGGTTCTTTGTGCTTTTGATTTGTCCATGGATCCCCTGTGTTCCGAGATTCACAGACGGGCTGTAAGAAATGCACGGACCGATCAGGGAAGCGACGTTCCGTAGGTTCCGTGTCAGTCTTCAATCGGTGGGGAACACTGAACCTGAGGCGCGGTTGGGGACGAAGACTGGAGGTGGTGCAGATCGCGGAGTGACAGAGGTACTTTAACGAGGGGGTGTGACCCCACGTGGTGAACGGTTTGTTTCTGCCAGGAAGAGAGATTTTCCCGTAGTTGTTAATGGTCGCTGTGAATCCTGATGTATTGTACCGCGACATTTATCTCATATAACTTGGAAAAACCGGATATCGAGAGAATTTCGAAATAGGTCAGAGGATAAGCCAATGCACGAAATATGGAACAAAACATCACAACTGAAGCACCGAAATGCATGAGCCATATGTCCAACAACTTTCGAACACGAACCACAAGTAGCTTGAGACGGCATCACAAGATAAAGAAAATCCAAGATGGCGGACACAGATGGGAGTTGGGCCAATCAATAAGATCTTTGGGATTAGCCAAAGAATATCCACTAAGTTTGCACCGGTTGGAAAATACACCGAAAGAAGAAAATTAATGCACAATTCACACAGAAAGCACATTTATAACACAGTAATCCGAAGCAAAAGTGGTATCCAGCACACGGTGATTCAAAAATCCGCCGCTTCCGTGGGTACAGCCAGATAAGATAGATACTCGACTATGACTGAAGTGTGTTGGGGTAAGAACTTCCAGAACAACGACTCATTGCTAATCGTGTTATTGGGGGGAAATAACATCATGACATTATGCAATGGTATTCCAATCGTAGTACGGATATGTTAGAGATCTTGCTAAACGTTTTTTTTGGAGCATGGCTCCCTAGGAAATGCTGGAAGCAGAAGTACGGTCCAAGCAGTCCCTCTGCATGGGTGTAGGAACCGACACTTACTTGCGCTTAATGTCGAAGATTAGATTCTTCAGACGGACGTCTGCTACACGATGTTCAAAGAAGAAACCTGTAACACAGTGTTGACCAAGAGACAGAGCAATTAATCCGTATGTCAACAATAATATATTGCGCATACGATGTGCAGGTCTTTCTCGTATGCGCTGACTTCAGATGGATGTTGAATCGAAATAGTCAATAAGCAAACTACCTTTGGACTGCAAGGGAATCGAGTTCCGATAAGATTTGATGACCAAGAGCTGGACACGGTAGCAAAGGGATATCATGCAAGCTCACTCCGTCCCGTGGTCATCTTTACACTCTGGCAATTGAGTCCATCGCATTAGCTAAGGGTCCATAGGGCCTATCAAAAATCCGGAGAAACACCAGATGGCCGTTTCGCAATAAC